AGTGCCTACAAAATGGTGCCTTGAAAGACATTCATTAGATTTGGTGGGTCTTTGATTATTAAAGATTTTGCGATCTTATTGAGAACAGCTAGATCTAAGAGAGGGGGCAAAATCCAGATTCAACTGCACTGAGAAGTGCTCGCAAGTGTACAAGACCGTGCCTTCTAGAAGCTGAGCTTTGAGGGAGTAGCAGGGAGTGAGTGTGTTGGCTAGAAAGAAATGCAGAGTCTTAGAGGATATTTTTGTATGAGTGGCTTGGTTTTGTTTTTAAGATGGGGTAGATGCACATTTCTGTGCTGAGCAGGAGCCAGTATAAGGGAAGAGACTGTGTAAGGCCTGTTGCCTTACACATCGTAAATATATTGTAAAAATATTTGTTTAATGAATGACTGCTTACTGTTAAATTTGTCAATCTTAGTTTCACAGGCAAGCTGTATGTGTTTTAAGGGCTGCTTGCTCTTTCTGTATTATTTTTTTAGCCTCAGAATATTCTGCTGACAAGTGAATCTCCACTGGGTGACATTAAGATAGTTGATTTTGGTCTTTCAAGAATAATGAAGAACAGTGAAGAGCTCCGAGAAATTATGGGTACTCCTGAATATGTGGGTAAGTACTCGTAAGAGTGGGTTATGTTCTGTGTTTGGGGTCAAGCATCGTCTTCGTTAGGGAACTCACATGTGGCGTGGGAATAGTGGGGCCAGCCATCTGCTGTGTTAAAATTCTGCCATCAGAGAGCCCTTCTTTTGTATAAAAATTTAAAAATGGTTAACATTAAAGAGTAAAGTACCAAATTGATGATCCCTTTCCTGAAGGGAATCAAGAGAATTTGAAGGGATTGCTTCTAAGAGGAGTCAGAGGATTTTCCTTAACAAAGTGTAGGATACCAGGTTATCTGAAGGTGGGAGGATATTTAACAAGTAAGGACCTCTGAAGAACTTTAAGTTCATCATAAACATTGTTAAAGTAATGGCAAGCCCTGTGAAACACAGGGCATTCTGTTGGATTAATGCAAGGTTGGGAGCTTCTGGAAGAAAGAAAAAAGCGCTAAGCCTTGAAGGTACTAGTAAAAGAGCAGCTGAAGTGATGAACCGTGGCTTTTAGGTTTGGTACAAAAATAAGTAAACCATGACTTTTTTGATAGACCGGAAGAACAATAGGATGCTAAGGGATTTGTGGCCTGAATGAGGTTTAAAAAAAAAAAAAGAAAAGATACCTGTAAGCAGAACAAGGCGGTGAAATAATCTAAAGGCTGTGACCAGGAGTTTACAATATTAACATTTAAAATTTCAGAGATGAAACAGTTCTTTGTAATTACTAGGCCTGCGATGTAGCTGTGGAAGGGCTGTGTAGACCTGTAGGTCCAGAAGCGCGGACGCCAGGCTGCCCGGGTCATAGACACGAGTGTGGACGTTGTCTGGGGGGCGGCAGGCGGGTGAGGAGGCTGTAGAGAAGGCCTGGGCCCCAAGGGAAGAATATTTACCTGAGGTTAGAGGTGTGAAGTGGACGGACAGGCTGTCTGCATTCTAGACTAGGGCGTGCGGCAGCCTCGGCCTCCTTTCAGAGGGGAGACAGGACCGGGGCAGCTCTGGTGGGACTTCGTTTACAAGGGAGAGTCAATTCCAGGGGACAGATAGGGTTGAGGAAAACAAAGCTGTTCGGCAGTGATGGGACAAAATCTAACTCAAAGCTTTTAAAGTAAGTCCTACGATTTGAAACAGATCCTTAATTAGGTAATAAAAGATAGCACGGTGGGCAGGAAAACCACCTTCAAAACGTTGATGCGTTCTTCGTGGGCTAGAATACTTAAATTTCAGTGCACGTCATGACCACTCAGTAAGCTTTGAGGATGGGGCTTAACAGGGCCTCCTCTTGGAAAGCCCGGGTCCTTCAGCCGGTCCGCTCGAGAGCTTTGTCAACGAGAGGGAAAGCGGAATGATGGGCTGTGAGTTGAGAACCCTGTAGGAGTTATTGCCCTGAAGGAGTTTTATTGTTTTATGCTTTCTATTCTCTGGGTAAATTCTGTTTTCTACCAAGAACTTTATATTTTCCCTCCAAAAAACAGAACTATCTTTATTATAAAAGTAATTCCCAATCCAAGAAAACTAAAAACAATTCAGAACTATATAATAGAGAAAAACAAAGAGGCCTCTCCTCTCATTCTTTCCTGCACTTGCAGAGGTGAGTGTAAGCCTCGCAGCTTGTTTTCCTCACAGAATCATCTGTCTGGGCTCCGTCTGCTTCCTCTGCCAACTGTGCATGTGACCTCAGTCCCGAAATCTCTTTATACCTCCCATTCCTCTGTCCCTAAAATGGGGCTGTCGTAGTACTGCTTTACTGGATTTGCTCTGTCAAGCTCTTAGATCCATGTTCAGCTTATAATAAACACAGGAAAGGAAGCTACTGTTACTTCCTGCTCCCTCCTCCCAGCATCTTTTACTCTTTGGTCTCTTATTTTACTTTCTCCTCGAGTAGTTTGGGTGCTGTGCATTTCATTTTAAATTTCCTAGTAGTTTCTTTTAAAACCTTAGAATGATGTTCATAACCTCTGTTTCACAACTCAGTATCAGAGGTTGAAGTTGAGGAAATTAGCCTACCTAGCATTTTCTCCCAACCTTTTCTTCCTCATATTGTGTGTCGTGTGTTGGGGGGGGGGTGTCCCCAACCAGTGATGAGTATGTGACTTGAGTGTTTTGTTTTTTCTTAGGATTAGAACATCTTCATCTCCCCCCCTTTTTTTTAATTACCACAGTTGTTTAGTCTTTGATCTGTTTTTAAATGGATTCAATACTTGATTGCCTGTCTTTTCTTCCTACTTTTGAAAAAACTCATTTGGTTGACTGGATTGTATCAATGAGTGAGTTTTTCTTTCAAGGAGGATTTTCGTGAATTTCTCCTAAGTTCTTGCACATTTGAGAATGCCTTTTGTATTGCTTTATGTGTGACAGCAGTTTAGTTAAATGTTATCAAAGCATGCTGTTTTTCAGGACTCTACAGAGGCAACTTTGTTGTCTTTGTGTATAGTGCATGTCAAATGAGAATGCTGTTTTTTCTTTAACCCTGTTGATGGACTTTCTATCAGTGGGCAGACATTTTAATAAGCCCCCTCTGGCTCCAGTATGGAGAACAGATCAGGGAGGTGGAATGAGTGGAGGTCAGGAGGGGAAGGTGCCACGGACTCGGTGGGGGCGGTAGGGAAGCAGAGTCGTGGATGGCATCGAGAAAGATTTAAAAGCAGTAATCTGTTAGATAGGATGCTTGATTTTAGCGGGTATGGGAAGAGGAAGGTGTCACAGTTGTCAGTTTCTATTACAGCACTTAAGCATTCAGATATTTTTTAAAATATTAAGACCCAACAATGGAGGGTGCTGGTGGGAAAATAAGTTAATTACATCTAGTCAGACTTTACAGTAATTCATATTAACTTATATAAATGTTATTTCATGTTAGCCCAAATCTTGATGGTGTCTTAATAGAGTTTCTGATGAGTATTTTAAAAAAATGTTTTGATTTCAAAGAGCAAATTAGGAATTTTTTTTCACACAGCTGAATGTTTTCTTGTTTCTGATACTAGCTCCCGAGATTCTTAGTTATGATCCCATCAGCATGGCGACGGATATGTGGTAAGTTACTTATGAAAAATTGATCAGATTGGTTTCAAGAAATGAGTATGATACTAATTTTTCTTACATTTTCATTCTAATTTAGGAGCATTGGAGTGCTAACATATGTCATGCTCACTGGAGTGTCACCTTTCTTAGGTGATAATAAACAAGAAACATTCCTAAACATCTCTCGGATGAGTTTAAGTTATTCTGAGGAAGAGTTTGATGTTGTGTCTGAGTCAGCTGTTGACTTCATCAAGACACTTTTAGTTAAGAAACCTGAGTAAGTATTTAGTTAATATTGATCTTTGTCAATTTTTGAGTGATCTGCTCTGAACAAAAGCAGGTTAAACTGAAACACCAAAATGAAGGCAGGAAAATGTAGCCATTAAACTAGATGAAACCTTGAGCTTATTATATCTGTTGAAAGAAAATGTCAAAAATGAAAACGTTTCTTAGAAAACAGTGAGCTGCATCTCAGTCTGACAGATACTGTCTATCTGTTTTTGGTCTTCCAAAAGGGCTTTTCAGAGATATCTTACTTAAAAGTATTGTTCAACATTGTGGGAATGGCATTTGCACACAAATGCCAAAACTTCTAGTCTTATTCCGGGATCACAATAAGATTCTTGTCAACTCTTCATACTTCCCCAAATATAATACAATAAATATACCTTATGCTCTAACTTACATATTTTTAAGATTTTATTTTTTAAGTAATGTCTACACCCAGTATGGGGCTCAAACTCAACCCTGAGGTCAAGAGTCGCATGCTCTCCCGACAGCCAGCCAGGTGTCCCCCAATATGCTCTAATTTATAATTGAAGTTTTATTTTTTATTTTTATTTTTTTAAGATTGTATTTGAGAAAGAGAGAGAATGAGTCGAGGGCAGAGGCAGAGGGAGAGGGAGGAGCAGACTCCCCGCTGAGCAGGGAGCCCAATGAGGGGCTCCATCCCGGGACCCTGAGATCATGACCTGAGCCGAAGGCAGACGCTTACCTGAGCCACCCAGGCGCCTCTGTAATTGAAGTTTTAAACTATCTTGTCTTAAGGGTGAAATGTGTTTCTTTTTACAGAGATCGAGCCACAGCCGAAGAATGTCTAAAACATCCGTGGTTGACAGAGAGCAGTATTCAGGATCCTTCTTTCAAGGTGAAAGGGGCATTAGAAGAAGCAAATGCGCTCCAAGAAGGTGATTCTGTGCCTGAAATTAATTCAGATACTCAGAAACCAGAAACCGAGGAATCAGTTGTAACAGAGGAGTTAATTGTATTTACTTCATATACTTTAGGACAATGCAGACAGTCTGAAAAAGAGAAAATGGAGCAAAAGGCCATTTCCAAACGATTTAAATTTGAGGAACCTTTGCTACAAGAAATTCCAGGAGAATTTATCTACTGAGCAGTACTTCCCTTTAGAACTTTAAGATTTCTACATTGAAACCATTATTATTATTTATGGACTTCTGGCCAAATGGTACATGTACTGAAAGTGGATAAACCAGGTATCACTGATAGAAACTCAAATAACTTTGTCAAACTTGTGGAGTTAGATATATCAAGACAGATTTATAAAGCTGCCAACCAGGAGTTTTAACGGGTAAAGTTTTATCTGTGTCAATGTTATTTTTTTAAGAAGGGAGATGTTTGAATCTTTTGTTTCTAAATCTTGTTTCTCCAGAATGAGAATTTGTTATGCAAAGATACCTGTATTTACTTTCTTTAAAAATCCAAGTAAAAGTGCCAAATTAACATCTTTGTAAATCTATTTTGCAGTATTCATGTGTATCTGTATCTGCATATTTGTATGTTGATATCTTTGCTAAAATTGATACCTTTTTACTTTGGATTTTTTGAGGGGAGTAAGCTTTTTAATTAGGTATCTTCCAAATTTTGAGTCCTAGAATAACATCCACTAGAGTTTGATAATGTCTTATTTTTATATTTTATTACTGCTTTATATTGACTTGATTTGACTTCTGTTGTCCTTGTTTTTGCCTAATGCTTGTAACCTATCAGTGAAAAGCCCTGGCTAATTTCTTTTTTCTTCAGTGTCACTAATAAGAGTGGTGTTGATTTTTCACCTCAAACTATTCTGGTTTTAAGGTCAAAGTTAACCAAAGTGCTGACCTCTCGCCGTTTCCCTCAGCACGCCTTACCCGTCTGCGCGCTCTCAGGAGACGGACCCATGCCACCTTCTCACGTGCTTGTCACCTAATTTTGGTCACTTGCAAGTGTCAGTGTGATCTGATCAACACGGTGGTTGCTTTGGTCAGTGAAGGACGCTGTTGCATTGTTTTTGTTAATAAAATCCCCCAGAGAGGGTAAGAGGTGGAGCATCTTCGTCCTAGCCATTGAGCCTCCACTTCTGTGGAGTTTATGTGCCCTCAGACTATACTGGGAAACGTTATAAAAAGCCACAATATTTATAAACTTTGTTTTGTTCATAAAAAATTGGACCTTGGATACTTTGTCATCAGGGGAGCAGCCATGTTCCCAGAAGACTTATAAGAATTTAAGTTGATTAGGATGTATGTAGGCCCCACAGTGAACAATACATTCCTATTAAACAATGGAAACGTACAAGTGTACGCCGTGTAACTTAAACAACTAAATATCCTTCTCACACAAAAATGTCTGAGTAGTGTCCTTATTTATCTTTTATTAGGCTCGGGGCGTTAAGCTACTCGTGAATACAGTTGGTCTGTCCCTCGAGCGGGGGCTCTCGGGGGCTCACGCGATGCTCTCTGCCGCGTGAGTTCTCAGATGCCAAGAGTCGTGACCGGGACAGCCCCTGACCACCTGTTGTAGAGCGTGAGCCGTGTAGTGTGTGGGACCCTGACCCCCCTGGTCTGTAATCAGCCCCAGCCCTGCCCTGCGGGGGTTGGAGCCCCGACGGTGTGCACACATCATCAGCTGAAACTGATGAGGCAGCTCCAAACATCAGCTCGCACTGTTTGCTCACTCAGTTCGCTTCATTTGTACAGTTTCTTGGAAACCAGCATTTCTAACCAAGCTGTAGACGGAAGAAGAGGAAATTCTGCCACAATGGCAGGGTTTTCTGTGAAAAACCCAGGACCACTATGTTAAGCCTCAGGTAAGTCTTGGAAGAGTTGAGTAAAACACAAGTTTAGGCACCTTTTTGTAAACATCTCTCTGGCAAAAATAGGAAGGGGGGGTGAGAAAAAAAAATACCCACTCCCGAGTGACACATTTTCACACTCGATAGATTTGTTGCATTTTAAAATCAGAATCATTTAGATAACATTTAGATTTTTTTGTAAGCCATTTTATATTACACTCAAAATAAATACCTTTAATATAGTTGCTGTATTTGTTTAAAAAAAAAAAAGACCTCTTTTCTTGTAGCTGGCCGCTTTGCCGTCTACGGTGCGCTGCTTCTCTTGAGCGGCTTTTGTAAGCGCCTGTAAAGGTCTACGGACATCTTCTGACTCAGATGATGTAAGTAGAGCATGAAGAGCCTTCACAGAATTGGGCCAAATAAAGTCTTTCCAGTAATGACTTACCCAGTAGCCCTGTACTTACCTAATGCTGCTCGTGTTTTCTTTTAACAAGTTTACAAAGACCCAAACCAGTATTATTGAATTTGCTCATAGAATTTATAAGCCCATGTTTAATAATAATAAAATTCAACATTGTCGTATTTTAACCTGATGAGAAGTTTATGAAACATGCAAAGTGTATTAGTGGTTTTAGTCAGTTGGGAAATGGTGTTTTAATGTTTTGTTGTTTTCACATGAAAAGTAGGAGAAAACGCCACACCCTTGTAGTTACAGGGGAAGGTTGGGTGCTAATTAAGAGATACCGCAAACTCCCAAACTTTTACAAGTGACCTCAGTTGGGAAGAAAATTGAATAGAGAGGACGTCATAAAGGTTGAGTTACAGTCCTAGTAACGTAACGCCTGGTGTATGGTAGCTCAGTCCACGATTAGCACGATCGATCTTGGCACCAACGCAGACCGTTTTACGTAGGGGTAAAGGTCTTCGGCCAGCGTATTAACAAACTAATCCTAAATACATTTTAAACTCACACACACTTGTAAGAATTTAAATTGGATTGATGAAACTAAAAATAGTCAAAATTGTTCAAGGTCCTTTACCACCTAGTACCTTCATTTAGTTGCAGAATTTAAAAACTAGGTTAAAAACCTTCATCTTAACCTCAGGAGCCTTAATCTCCAACTACTGTTTTTGTTGTGCGAGGCGGGGATATAATTTGCAGAGAGGGAAACGTGCAGACCTACATCCACACTGGCCAGCGTCGGGCGGGTGCACGCACCCCGTTAACTCGGCTCCGTTGTTAAGAGTTTGCCTTGTCCTCAGCATGATCCTTTTGAGACTCACCCATGTTGGGGCTTCTGTGGGTAGTTTGTGCCTTTTTATTGCAGGGCTGTACTCTGTACATAGCAGTTTATGTGTCCGTGTCTCTGTCCGAGGAGCCCTGGGCTGTTTCGGGTTTGGGCTGTTGTGAATGAAGCTGCTTTAGAAACTCTTGTCCAAGAATTTTTGTGGACACACTGTCATTTCTCTCAGATTCAATGAGTAGAATGCTGGGTCATAATGGGATAGATGTGTACCGAACTTTGTAAGAAACCCCCCCATGGTCTTCCTAAGTGACTGCACCATTTTCCATCCCTGCCAGCAATGCCGGAGTTCCGCCTGGCCGTCTGATTCATGGTAGCCGCTCTCGTGGGCGTGTGCTGGCTTAACCTGCCTTTCCCTGCTGACTAATGAGGAACACTACCTCGTGTGCTTGTTGAACCATTCTTTTGGTAGTCCTTTATATAGTCTGGATAAAAGTCCTCTGTCAGATTTATGTATTAAATATTTTCTCCCACTCTGGCTTATCTATTTTCTCCATAGTGCCTTTTGAGCAGAAGGTGGTTTTCATTTTGGTGAAGTTCAGTTTATCAGTTTTTGCTTTCTGTATCTTCTTTTAAGAAGTCCTTACCTACCCCAAGTCATGAAGATATCTTTTTTTCTTTTTTTAACCTTCTAGTTTTAGCTTTTATGCTTAGGTCTGTGATCCACTGTGAATTACTGTTTGCCTGGGGGAGGTTAGGAAGGGGCCGAGTATCTTTGTTTTCCATAAGAATATTCAGTTGTTCCAGCACCATTCGTCAGATTTTCCTTTCCCCATTAAATTATTTTGCTGTTTTTATGTAAAGTCATTTCTGTGGACCTACTTCTGGACATTCTTCTGTTCCATTAATCTGTTTGCTTATACGTTTGTCAGAGCTTTGCCTTGATGTGACATAAAATAGGACTTCCAGTTGCTTCTTTTTCAAGATTGTTGTTTATTCTAGGTCCTTTGCATTTCGAGGTAAATTTTCGAATTGGCTTGCCGATTTTTTTTTTTTTTTAAGATTTTATTTACTAGAGAGAGAGCGCACAAAGGGAGAGGGAGAAACAGACTTCCTGCTGAGCAGGGAGCCCGATGCAGGACTCGATCCCAGAACCCCAGGATCATGACCTGAGCCGAAGGCAAGACGCTTAACCAACTGAGCCACCCAGGCGCCTGGCTTGGCAATTTCTACCAAAATTACTCCCTAAAAAAGCCTCATGGGATTTTGACTTGAGATTTCTTAAATCTGTAGATGAATTTAACATTTTAACAGAGTCTTCCAAATCTATGAACATAGTGTTTCCATTTACTTCATTTTTTCCCAGCATCGTTTTATATATTGTAATGTAGAGATCTTGCACATCCTGTTAATTTTATCCCTGTGCGCTTTGTTGCTGGATGCTACTGTTCTGGATACTCTTTTTTCAGGAGAGGGGAGGCTGATACTTAATCTTCCAATGGTCATTTTTAGCTCATTGTGCTTAGACCAATGTTAGAAATTACTTAAAAAAAATTTTTGAAAAGAGATGAGGTAATGGGGCCTCAGGAAGAACGTGATTTGCCCAAAATGTTACAGCTACAGGCAGAACAAAGGCTAGAATCACTGAGCTTTCCTGCTAGTGAAGGGCTTTTACCTCAGTGGATTCTACCTTTGGCTATGTTTTAGTTCATGTCCCTAACAACAATTTTTAACAATTATTTTTGTGTCACCTGGCTTTGGATAGTTTTTCCTAAAGAACCGGAGGATGAGTCACCTGAGATTAGCCAGTGCGGAGGTGAGCATACTGTGGCCCTTGTGGCCTGTTTGTTACTTGAAGTTTACTGGAACACAGCCGTGCCCATTCACTGCTATTTGGCTGTGGCTACTTTCAAACTACAGCTGCAGGGTGGAGTCGTTGCGACAGAGACCTTATGACCTACACAGCCCACAACAGTTACTCCTGGGCCCTTTACAGAAACCGTCTGCCAACCCCGGGCTGTTGTCATCTAAACATAGTTGAAATACGGGATATTTCCTTTTTAAAACTGATACTGATACAGTCCTTTGGGGAGCAGTTTATGTTACATGGCAGAATAATCTCACAACTTTGGTTCCATTCCTTCTCATACATTTTATTAAGATACAGGTTTTATTTACTAAAAGTACACTATTTTTCCTAAATACATTAGCAGTATTATAACGATTTTTTACATAAGAATACTCTTAATTTCAATACACTATGATGGGTTTTCACTACAGTTAGTATCTCTTTAGTTATCTCCATTATTAAAATAACCAGCTTTCTAATAAATTGTGACAGAAATGTACCTAGCAGAAAAATAAATGAAGATATTTGAGAAGATACAGGTTTAATCCTCTGAGAGGTGGAAATTATTCAGGATGGGAGGATTATTACCTCATCCCTGCCCCTTTCAAAGCAGCATGTTCAATGTCCTTATCCTGCACCTCTAAAAACTTTTTATTTTGAAATACTTACATATTTTCAGGTGTCACTGAACCAACAGGAGTTCACCCCGTGGTGAGTCAGAACCTGTCCCAGGTTGAGTTGTCACACAAAGAAACCTTTATTTGGAGCAACTGAGGAGAACATGGAGAATGGCTTCCAAAGCCATGACTTCCCCAAGAGAGGGTGAATGGGTTCTTGTGGTCTAGGGTTAGGACGGATACTTAGATAGGGAAGCCTTGTCACCCTACGTAGAGGCGGGCACAAGGTTGTGCGTGTGCCTTAAGGAAACATGCCTACACATACATTGTATGTTATGTAAATGAGGCTGAGTCTTCTCCTTGGAAGGAGATTTTAGTATTATAATGAGGTAAAGGTAATAGGTCATTCCAGAGGTCACTGCACGGTCCATCTGCTCAAGTACGAGCCAGGTTTAGCTCAAATAGTCTGGGTGGTCAGGGTGGGTCGGAGATTATGTCCAGGCAGCCCCCATCACCTGGGGGGTGCTCCCGGGTTTCATTTGCGTGAGTTAAGGGCAAAGCTGGAAAAAAGAGCTTGGGCAGAGATGTAAGGCAAATGCTAGCAGGTACAAGCTGTGGGCAGTAAAGGCCAGGTCTTGGGGTCTCTAGCTGGTGACACAGGGACGTGGAAAGATAGTACAGTATATCTCAGGTAACTGTAATACAATATCAAAACTGGGAAGTTGACAGTAGTACAATGTGTGTGTCTGGTTCTGTGCCATTTTATCGTGTGTAGATTCCTGTAACCACCATCACAATTAAGATGCAGAACTGTTACGGGGCGCCTGGGGGGCTCAGTCAGT